CATATATGTTGACACTCACAATGTGAGCCACAATAAAACACAATGTCGATGGTATAATTGTCACCTTGGTTGCGTTTTACAGTTAGAACAACATCGATAAACATTACAATAGTCAATCTAAAATGATTTGACACTCATTGAAAGTATCAGTTGTGTGCAACCATGACATATTGGTATCTTAAGAGTGTCATTGATAGTCAGTGAGACCACATCGAAAATACACTCATAGTCACAAGGATGATCACTGTCAGGGTCACATTGCAATTGCCACTGTGAGAGAGAAAATGAGATTCAATATGGAAACTAGACTTAGCAACATGTTGAAAGGTACAGTGTGTGCCTCAATGCGATACACTTTGAGGTTCACTGCGACAAATTTTTGATTCCTTAGGAAGGGCTGGTGAAGAAACATTTATTAGAAAATCAACCAGACGTTTTGTGGCTGTACCCGGTTGGAATGAAGTAGTTATGGAAGCACATGACCCAGCTAGCAATTATTGTTATTCTTGGTGTGACTCTGGTAAACCTAGATATTGTTTTGTGTACCAGATGATGCGCAAATCGTTGATGAACGAAGATCGGCGGATATTTTGGAAAAAGGCGACAATGGCATATAACGCGCCATACCATGTACTATTGACGGTTGCTCCGGTGAATCTAATATTGCGAACATGTGGGCAAACCATTTTAATACGATTTTAAATTCTGTTAATGATGATATTTATAAAGTTAAAGTGCAGCAATATGTTTCAGTTAATACGTTAGATGTTCCAATTGTGTCCATAAAAGAAGTCGCTACGGTTGCACAGTGTCTCGAGCTGGAGAAATCATGTGGAGCAGACGGTCTATGTGCTGAGCACCTTAAACTCGCTAGCCCAGCGATCTCATTGCATCTGTCAATGTGTCTGTCTGCAATGCTTATACACGGAACTGTTCCAAGAAGGTTGATTGAAGTTGAACTGCTCCCAATAGCTAAGAATAAATGTGGAAATATAGACTAGCAAAGATAATTATCGACCCATTGCCATAACTACAGTTTTATCCGAAGTCTT